TGCGCTAGCTGCGATCCGTGCAGCGCTCCAACAAGCAAAAACTTCTGGCGTAAGTTTCAGCACTGCGGTCGCGTCTTCTTCTGCGGCTTGGACAAGCTGGAGGCGTGGGCTGCAGACACACAGCAGGCTGCGCATGCCACAACCCAGAAACCTCGCGAGGAACCTGGCGCAGCAGACGGAACAGACAGAGAAAGTAGTGACAAGAGAGACGCCCTCATGATGCAGATTCAGCAGCCGTGCGCGCAGCAGCAGACACATGAACTCGAGACAGCAAGCCACGAGAACCAACACAAAGACCGCGGCACTGCGCACAGTATGTCCACGCCCACGCGCGCACCCACACTCACACCGGCAGTCTTCTCATTGTACGCATCCCTGAACAGCCAAGCAGATGCTGAGCGTTTCCGAGGCCTGCGCACGACCGTGTTGGCGGACGCGCGCGCAGAACACGTCTTCATTCAGGCACAGGCACCCCTGGCCTCCCTGACGGTGAGCAATGCAGACAACGTTCACATCAACGCGTGCTCGGCGGTGATCGACAACTTGGTGATCCGCGACGTGACACGCGTCGTCTGGCTGCCAGCAACAACACAACGCAGCACCGCATGCCACCTCAGCAACGTCCAGCATATTGACCTGCGCACCAAGAGCACGCTCACAGAAGATCTGGGCGCATTTGCCGGAATCCCGAGCGTTGGCCTTTGCAACTGCCAGCGATGACACGGTCGTGGACCTTGCGTCACTCCATGGCGTGAAGCAGCTGAGGTTGCCCACCGAAGGCACGGAAGCAGTACGGGGACACTCGGTGTTTCAAACAGCAGAAACGCTCGTGCTGTCGCACACGAGCATCACCCCGACAGACACGCTGCCGGCGGCGACCGTTGTCAACCTCTCCCACATGAGACCTGTACCGGAGCTGCTGCATCTGACCAACGCCATCGACATTGCCCTGGGATATGGGTCCAAGGTGCGGCAGTTCACATGTGCGCCACGCATCGAGAGACTCGTGATCCGTGACGCCACGGGCACGCCACCATGCATTCCAAAGTTTGAGCACGCCCAGGTCGTGTGCCTTGCGCTGCCGCATCTGCACCTGACGAGCGAGCAGCTGGTTGACCTCAGCACCCGCGTTGACAAGTTGGTACTTCGACGGTTGCTGCGCGTTCCGGATGATGCAGACTCGCCGCATACAAGCACAAGCGTCGTGCGTGGTATCCCCGACCATGCGCACGTGTGCCTGGACTGTTTCGAGATTGACGAACCGGTCCCACCGTGCGTCAAAGAGCTCAAAGCGCTGGTGGAAGGCAGCGCTGTGCAAGGCAGGTTCGTCAGCCACGTCCCGCGCCTGAGTCTCAAAGACAAATGCGGGCACGCGCGCATCAACGACGTGCACTTGCTCTCTGGGCGCAAGGTGCTGCAGTTGACGCAGGTCTTGCTTGAAGGGGAGCTCGCGTCTTGCGAGCAGCTGAGTCTGTGCGGGTGCCGGGGGCGCCTGGGCTTGACATCCATTGGGTCCCTCGACCTGAATGGCGCAGTGGTGACTACTGACGATGACAACGGCGACGGAGACAACAACATCGATTCTGGCGATGGCAGTGACGACAGTGACAACAGGGCACTTGCGGAGACGAAGCTGTTAATCACGCGCGTGCACCATGTGACCCTCTGCCGTCTCGAGGAGTGCGTCATCCACGAATTTGGGTGCTTTCAGGACGTGCAGCACCTCACGCTGAAGGAATGCAAGTTCGAGGACCTGGCCAGCTTTCCGCCCGTGCATGTCCTCGTTTTGCGCAACTGTGAAACCATGGACGAGGACGGGTGGTGCCCAGGTGCAGTCTTCGTGGACCGCTCGCCATACGAGATGGAGCAACTCTTGCTTACCGAGCGAAGAAGGTGGTGAACGGTCAGTGTGTGTGTGTGTGTGTGTGTGTGCGTGCGTGTGTGTGTGTGTGTGTGTGTGTGTGTGTGTGTGTGTGTGTGTGTGGTGTAGCCTTCAGCCAGACCGCACGAAACGCGGCAGCCCAGAACAGACACGATTGTGCTCGAAAACGCCACCACAACCACAAACGTGCGCGATCTCACCACATTCACGTGCAGACACGTCAACGCGACCCTTTTGTTGGCGCCCGTGACCTGTTGCTGTTGTTCTTCTCCTTGTTGGTGACATGACCTTATTGTTTTGCTCCCGCTTGTGCGCGTTCGCCCCGTGTCGGTGCGCGGGGTCCGGCCTTGCTCCTCCGGGGCACCGTTCCACCAGCACCACCCCTGCCCTTCTCCTCCTCCTCCTGCTCCACCAACACCTTCTTCTTCTCCACCTCCTTCTTCTTCTCCTCCTCCTCCTTCTTTGTCTTCTCCCCCATTGTCATTCCTTGCACCTCTGCCCTACTCTTCTCGTCTATTGCATCTGCCTGTTGCTTGTCCCTGGGGCGCCCTTTCCTTCTTCTTCTTTCTTTTGTTCCTTGACCTGTCCCCCCTCTTGGTTCTCCCCGCCGCGCCTTCAGCAGAGCCATGTGCGCTTGGTCAATAAACGGGAACGTCCTGAGAAACGCCTCCATGTGCACGGCTGTACTGGCCATCCCGCACACCCACCACAGAGCTGGTTGCTTGGCGACCCATCGACTTTGTATGCGTAGACCGTCGATGCCAACGTGCGGCAGGTACTATGCCACGGCTCGGGCTGTGCCAGCAGTCTGCTGGTTTCGTTGTTGGTTTTTGTTTGTTGTGAGGGTGTTTGGTGGCCATTTTCCTCGAACCACCCCAATCACAACAAGCAAGAAGCAACCAAGAAGCATAAGCAAAACAAGCCAAGACTGGTTGACCAGATACCACGCACATCCATCGGCTTTGTTGTCCTTTGATTGTCAGGACAGCGCTGCCTCTCCCTCTCCCCTTCAAGTCCTCAGCTCTCCTCTCAGTCCTTCAGTCCACGCCATCCTTGTGTGACCACGGTGTGCGTAAGCGTACTCGCCGCCTCAGGCTGACGGTTTCTTTGCTTCTTCTGCCAACTGCCTTGAGTTGCTGTGCATGTGTGTGTGAGCGGTTGGTTCAAAACGCACAAGACACCTTCTTGGGCCCGGAAGCGTGTTCGTTGTTGCTACCACCAGCTTCTCGCACTCACTCTCAGCTGCTCTTTGTGGTTTGCGAAAAGCTGAGCGACCAGCCTTGCGTGCTCCACCAGCATCCCCCCCCCCAACAAAAAAAAAAAAAAAAAGCTGGTGGGCACTCTCTCCTCTCTGTCTGGTCTGTTTCGTCTCCTTTTGTTGTTCCCACCCACCAACCAAAAAAAAAAAAGGCGAAAGCCACGCCCCCCTCCTCCAGTTTTGCTTTTCCTTCTCTCTTCTCTTGTTGTGTGCACTGCAACCACAACAACCAACCAACCGGTCCTTGCTACTCTTCTCTTTCTCCCCTTCCCCTCCAACCAAAGCAACCAACCCCACTCCCCTCTTCCTCTCCCTGTTTGTCTCTCTCTCCTCGATCGTCTCCTCTTCCCTCTTCCTGGCACCTCGCCCCGCGCCAGCCACCAAGCCCTCAAGCCCCCAAGCCCACCGTCCGCACCACACGGATTGCCCAGCCCACTGAGCGATTGACCTCCAAACCCCCACACCGCTCCTCAGGCTCCACACACACACACACACACACACACACACACACACACACACACACACACACACACACACACACACACACACACACACACACACAGCCATGGCTGACCAGCGACTGACGCACGGCGTGTCCGTGGCAGCTGTGCGGCGGTTCCTGGATGATTTGAAGCGCGAGTTCCCCGACACGTACACTGAGATGACGACGGAGGATGCTTGCAAGCAACTGGTTGTGCCACGCACGCGCCAGGACAACTGCGCCTACGTCGAGCAGCTGCGCAAGCAGTCGCCAGAGCACGTGAACAAGGCCACCGTGTTTGTGTCGCACGCATGGCGGTACAAGATCGCAGACGTGCTCAACGTCTTGCTGGAGTTTGCGGATGAGCAAGCAAGGAAGGATGACGGCCAGCCGGTGTTCTTCTGGTTTGACCTCTTTATGAACAACCAAAACGCCAACGTCACCGCCAACCTCCCACCAGAGTGGTGCGTTTTGTGTGTGTGTGTGTGTGTGCAGCTGTGTGTGTGTGTGTGTGTGCGTGTGTGAAACTCTCGTGCTCTTCAGCAACCACTGCCACATGCACACGTACACAGACACACGCACGTTGTTCCCTCACAAAAACTATAACCCCTCCCCTTTCCTCCCGTCTTCGTCTTCCCTCCACCCCAATTCCGCCCCGTTTCCTTTCTCAACACGCAGGTGGAGCACGACGTTCAAGCAGTCGATTGCCAACATTGGCCATGTGCTGCTGGTGCTCATGCCGTGGCGAGACCCTGTTCCCTTGACACGCGCGTGGTGTTTGTGGGAGATCTTCTGTGGCATCAGCAACGAAGGCACAGAGGTCACCATCCAACTGCCCAACAGCGAAGAACAGGCACTCCAACACGCAATTCGCGACAGCTATAAAGCCGTCACAGACACGCTGGTGCGCGTGCAGGCAGAGCGGGCCGACGCCTTCAACCCCCACGACAAACACATGATCTTCACGGCGATCGAGTCGTGGGCGGGTGGCTTCAGCGCAGTCAACCAGGCCGTGAAGGACCAGCTGCGCGCGTGGTGCCTGCAAAAGGCGGTGGGTGCCGTCGAAGCAATGCGAGCACGTGGCGAAGACAGCACTGACGCCTTCGCGGGGCTGTGTGGTGCGGTTGGGTCGGTGCTGTTGCAGTTTGGCGAGCACGACCGCGCCATTGCCTACTACGAGACAACGCTGACAATTCGGCTGCGCACTGAGGGGGAGAACGGGAAGAACGTCGCGGCGCTGTACAACAACATCGGCAACGCCTACGACAGCAAGGGCGAGTACGACAGGGCCATCCACTACTACGAGAAGGCCCTCGCCGTCTTCGTGGAGACGCTGGGCGAGAAGCACCTGAGCACAGCGAGCACGTACAGCAACCTTGGCATCGCCTACAGGAACAAGGGCGACTACGACAACGCAGTTGCGTTTTATGAGAAGGCGCTCGCCGTCTTCGTGGAGACGCTGGGCGAGAAGCACCCGAGCACAGCGAGCACGTATGGCAACCTCGGCAACGCCTACTACAGCAAGAGCGAGTACGACAAGGCGATTGCGTTTTATGAGAAGGCCCTCGCCATCACGGTGGAGACGCTGGGGGAGAAGCACCCGAGCACAGCCGACACCTACAACAACCTCGGCACTGTCTACGCCAGCAAGGGCGAGTACGACAAGGCGATTGCGTTTTATGAGAAGGCCCTCGCCATCACGGTGGAGACGCTGGGGGAGAAGCACCCCAGCACAGCTGCGTCCTATGGCAGCTTGGGCATCGCCTACAATAGCAAGGGCGACTACGACAAAGCGATCCAGCTGTACGAGAAGGCGCTCGCCGTCTTCGTGGAGGCGCTGGGCGAGAAGCACCCGAGCACAGCGATGACGCTTGAGAACATCGGCCTGCTGCACGACAAGCGCGGGGACAAGGAGCAGGCCTGCGCCTATGTCCAGCAGGCGCTCAACGTGTTTACAGCCACGCTCGGGCCAGACCACCCAAACACCCGCAAGGCGGAGCGCAACCTGCGGCGCATTCGCGGTGGTACTGTGAACGCCCAGCATGCATCCACGCAACACGTGTCAGGGTCTCGACTTCAGCAGCAAAACTTGCTTGCTCATCGCCACCTTCTGCTTCGGTTCATCTCTTCTGCTGTTGTATACCAGTCGTTTGCTCCACAACGCAACCTGCTCATGCGATTTCTCGGTGCAGTTGCACATGCTGATGTTGACGCAAGACGCCCAGCACACACAGGCAGCGACGATGAAGACAAGAAGACAGGGACTGGGCACGGCTGTCCTCGTGGCTGCTCTGTACCAGCAAGAGCGTTGTACAAGGACGCTTGCAAGTGCCCTAGCGAGCCTGTTGCTGGCTGGTTGCGGAAGCGTAGGCGACGGAGGGCCGCCTTTCGCCCGTGCTGGTGCAAGCTTGACGACGACGGCCACCTCGCGTACGGCAAGTCCCCTTCAGGCACGGCCAAGCGACGCATCCCCCTGTCCAGCGTGCTGTCAGCTGAGCTCGCCCATGGTGGCGAAGAGTTACACGTTGCTGGTCCCGGCCGCACCTTCGTCTTCCGCCTGCACGCGCACTCTGACACCTCGCTCGCCGACTGGTGCACCGCCATCAACAGCCGCATCAACGCCACCACTTGACTGTGTGCTGTGCTGTGTGTGTGTGTGTGTGTGTGTGTGTGTGTGTGTGTGCGTGCTTGCTGGTTTGCTGGTTTCTCTCTTTGCTCCTTTCTACCTTAACGTGCTTGCTTGCCGCTTGCCTTGCCTTGCTTGACTTTGCTTTGTTTGTGTGACACTTTAGTAAACTCTTCACGCAATCCAACCGGCTGACAAGCAACTAGCATACAACCTTCCACACCACACGTCAACCAAGCACTGGCTCTCGCATCCACTTCACCAACCCATCCACGCATCAGCTCCAGGGTGCGGCCCGTGGAAAAGTAGTTCCATCAGCACGTTCGAGTGCGGCGGCATCGGTAACACGTTCGGTTGCGAGCGTGCACGGCGCCCAGCGACCTTGTTGGAGGGTTGGGTCGCTAGCCTCTACTCGCTGTCCGTCCACGACCGTGCGGAATAGCACGTCGTCGCTGCAGGCCTACGCCAATCGAGAACGCCGGCTTGAGCGCGTGGGTGCGCCCCACTCTCATGCTGCACCTCCGCCACCGTTAATTCCTCCTCGGGGTTCAGGTCACCCGTCCTCAGCGACAGGTCCCACCATACAAAGGGCTGCAGCGACATCAGGAACGTGAAGAGGTCTGCGTCCCAGCAGCGTGCTTTCGCAATCTTGTCTCCACGTCGGTCTTGCTGCGCATCATGCCCGCGAACACGGCGGCAATCCCTGACGGCAGCTGCAGCTTCGTCTCGAACGGCGCCTGCAGCGTCTTCTTGTTGACGACCGCGTGCGTGTCCTTGCCCACCTCGCGCGCGCGCGTGTCCTCGGGCGAGACGTTAGAGCACGTCTCTCGCGCTTGGGGCGCACCCGTCCGTCTGCTCAAACCACAATCGTGTTGACGTGTGTTGTTGTGCTGGAACGTGCGTTTGGGGGGGTCCCGGCGCCCTCACACGTGCCTGCCAGGGTCGGCGAGCGACCTGAAGCCAAACGGCCGTGGCGGCGGTGGGTCGATGGTGAGTCCGCCATCCCCGTTCACGCATCCCGACGGATGTGCTTGCTCTTGATGGCTGTTGTTGCTGGGGAGCGGGGGAGGAAACGACACCACGATACTGGATGGGCAGTAGCTGGGCGTGGATGTGGAGACGTTGTGGCAACGGAGCATGTCAGCTGTTCGCACTTGTCGACATAGATGAGAGGAGAGATGGTTGCCTGTTGGACAACCAAGGAGACGGGTGAGTGGTGGATGAGGAGGAGCACGACAAGTCCACACGGGGAACTCACGTGAACGCAAAACAAGGGCGCAAACACACGCACACGTACAAACATGAACACATGAGCACATGAACGCACCGTCGATGGGGATGCGTACGTCGTTGGCGAGAGCGAACAAGGTGCGGATGACGGTGGTGGCGGCGATGGTGCCGGTGCGTTTCAGCTCTTCGTTCGATTGAGACAGCTGCCGTACACCCGGTGCAATGCAGAAGGGGTGGTGGTGGTGTTGGTGGTGGTGGTGTGAAAAGGGTGAGAGACGCTCTTCATGGAAGGACATTATGTTATCCAACACGCCTTCCCCAACGCACAAGTTCATGCACACACACACACACACACACACACACACACACACACACACACACACACACCATCTTCCTACGAGGCCTGCGGCGGCGGTGCGCTGGCGGTCAAACGTGAGCGTGGTCAGGACACGGAAGAACGGCAGAATGTGGATGAAGTGCAGGTTGCTTAGGCAGTCCAGGGTGCCGTCCAACATGAGCGCGCAAACGGGTGCAGCAGCTTCGGGTGGTCTGTGGCCAGCGACAGTAGCAGCACAGGCATGGCTGCGTCCACCTCCTGTGCCTGCCCCGTGCCAATGTGCGCCACCAGCGCCCCGACCACCTCCGGCCGTGGCGGTACGCGGCCTCCTGCCGCTCTGCCGCCGGCTCAGGATGTCGGCCATGTGCACAATCGACGGGAAGCACGTCAAGAACGCGCGCGTGTGTCTGGCAAACATGGCAGCGGCCATGGCAGCGGTGAGCAGGCCCGTGCTTGCAAGCTTAATGACGGTGGTCTCTGCGCGGCGGCGGTAGGCGTTCTGGTGGTGCAGCAGCAGCAGCACAAGCAGATCGAGGGCGGTGATTGGCTGGGCCATGGTAGTCTTGAGTTGGCCGCAGCCACGCCTTTGCAATGCGCGCATCAAATGCCAGCCCGTTCTTGATGGCAGCCACCACAGACAAGCACATGGTGATCGTCGCCTTGCTTGTTGTTGGTGTTGCATATTCGCTGTCAGCGCATTCACATCATCCATTCCATCCGCTGAACATCAACGTGCATGTGTGTGTGTGTGCGAAGGCATGTGAGGGAGCGGCTGTGAGAGAACAAGCCACAGCCACACGTGCAGGCAGGCACATGTGAGATCACCATCACACACTGCGGCAACATCTGCCACTCCCCTCAACAACAGCGCCACCTTGCTGCATGAGAAACTTGATGACGATTGGGAGGCACTCTGGACTGTGCGATCCAAGCTGGCCCAACACGTGGTCGCAGATCTCGCGCAGGCGTGCCGGCGCCACACTGCACAGCAAGGGTGTGGATGAGGGTGGTGTGGAGAGAGGGAGAGGGAGATGGGTGAGGGATGGTGGTGGAATGGCTGCGTCGCAATCCAAGAACATGGTGGCTGAGGATCACTCCGCAGATACACAGCATCATCAACAACACCACCAACATCAGTGTTCGTCGTGTTCGTACTTGAGATTTGACAATGCGTCGAGGATGGCCGGCGCCAACGACGGCTGTGTGTGTGTGTGTGTGTGTGTGTGTGTGTGTGTGTGTGTGTGTGTGTGTGTGTGTGTGTGTGTGTGTGTGTGTGTGTGTGTGTGTGTGTGTGTGTGTCGTGGGAGGGGGCAATGACGGACGAGCGCATTGCGTCGTGACACCCACACCAAGCAAGGCAGGCATACCAAGGGTGCACATCAACGACAGGTGAAGAAGCCAAAGTGTCGCTCACATGTTCTAGTCATTGTTGTTGGCTTGCGCTCACCTCACTGTGCTGATGAAGCAGGTGTTGTTGTCAATGGCTGTGATCTTGTCCCTCACATCATCACCCTTCTTACTCACATGTGTGTGTGTGTGTGTGTGTGTGTGTGAGCTGTCTTCTTGCTTGTCTCTGCTGTTCTTTCTACAGCCCGGTTTGGTTGTGGGTTTGGTTGGTGGTCGCAATGGTGGTTGCTTTCCTCGTCCGCCACTGCCCGTTATCTTCCGCACCACTGCAGACAGCAACCAAAGAAATGCCAACACCACCACCACACAGGGTTGTTTGTTCTTGCACACGCGCATGTGTGTGTGTGCTTTGATGAGTTGTTTCGTCAACAGACATTGTGAACCGCACCATCACAGTCAACATCACAGGCTCGGGTTGTCACAGCCAAGGCACAGCGTTCACCCATAGCAATGGCAATGTGCTTCTCACTCACTCACTCTCTCACACACTAACAAACACACACACACACACACACACACACACACACACACACACACACACATACAACCTTGATCGTCCAGGCCATGCACTGCGGCATGGTGAGATGCAGACACCAAGCGGGTGCCAGTTGAGAGCACCATAATCTTTCCCTGTTACACCAGCTGCCCTGAGGTCAGTGCGTACTCGTGCACGTGCGTGTGTGCTTGCGTGTACGCCTGTGCGTAACACCGCGTGTTTCCAGCGGGAATGGTGTATCATGCAAGATGGTGCCATGGTGAATTGAAGGTGGTGACGCACTGCGCATGCTGAACTTTTGACCTCGGCTTCACTTCCCTCCCTTACCCTCATTGCCATCACCATCACCGACGTGCGTGTACAAGGAAGGCGTTGTTGCGCAGGGGATCGTCAAGATCAGCGGTCGCTACAGGCCCATCCACCAGATCCTCAACTTCCACGCAGGTGAATAGGATCGTGTGTGTGTGTGTGTGTGTGTGTGTGTGTGTGTGTGTGTGTGTGTGTGTGTGTGTGTGTGTGTGTGTGTGTGTGTGTGTGTGTGTGTGCAACAAGTTGATTGATGAGATTTCAACTCGACTGTATGCACACTCACCTACTATCTTGTTCCATACACACGAACCCCCCCCACAAACAACATCACACAACCTGTTGGCAGCAAGTGTGTGTGTTGTACAAGAAGCCACTGCTGGAGAGCGGGACGATGGGCACGGGCGCCAACGTCGACGTCATTGTGCCGCACACCATCAACTCATACAGCGATGGCGGCGACGCAGAAGCAGGTATGTGTGCTGTGTACACGTGCGTGTGTGCATTTGAGAAGCTTACACGGTCATTTGCATCCTATCCAGCCCCATCGTCTCACCGCCACTCAACATCTTTTTTCGCCCTCTTCTTTTCCTGTTCTCAGGTGGCGGCATTCCCATGTGCACGCTGCGCAACTTCCCGCACCTCATCGACTACTGTATCGAGTGGGCGCGGGCCAAGTTCACGGACCTGTTTGTGAGCCCTGCGTCGCAGCTGCAGCAGTTCCTGGAGGACCCTGAGGGGTTCATCTCGGGGCTGGAGACGAAGATTGAGCAGCACGTGGGTGGCGAGCGGATTGGCGCCCTCGAACGCGGCGTGGACATGCTCAAGGCCATCAAGGACCTCGCCGCACAGGTGCTGGTGTTGTTGTTGTTGTTGAAGGTGGCAGTGTGTGGTAATTGTGTGGTAATTGTGTGATGGATGTGATGACACACCCTTTCCTGCTTATGAGGGTTAACATCTCCGTACCTTCACCACCACCGACACGTTCTTTCTTTCAGCTGCAAGAGAAGCCGACGATGGAGACGTGAGTGTGGCTGGCGTGGCGTGACTTTCACGCGTTTTCCCGCGACGTCATTCTGGACCTCATCGCCACCTTCCTCGCAGAGGCAAAGACCAAGAGTGGAGAGCCCTTTTGGTCAGGTGAGGACTCGTGTGTTTGTTTGTTTGTGTGTGTGCGTGTGTGTGTGTGCGTGTTGTTTGTTTGTGTTCGCTCTGGCAGCACCACCCACACCGCAACTGATCGTTTGCTCACCTCGCCCGTCGTGTGTGCTGCCCATAAAGCCTACAAGATCTTCCCCGAGGTGCTCGAGTTTGATCCGCAGAATCCGCTGCACAAGGCGTTTCTGATTGCCGTCACCAACCTCTACGCATGCGTCTTCAAGGTGGGCTGGCTGTGGGGTGCCTTCTTTGCTTGGGGGTTAGATGGTGGTGGGGGGTTGCTTTGGGGTGAGGTGGTGGTGGCGGTTGCGTGCGGTCGTTTTCTGCTGACACCACTGCCTCATCTGCGATGATGTTCAGGTACACCCGACCAAGTACCCAAGCGAGGAGAACAAGCTCCACACCAAGCGGTGAGCCGCGATGGCATGGGCTTTGCTTGGAGCTTTTTGCAGCATTGAATGGCTACGACGCTTGTGACTCGACACACACACACACACATACACATGCACACACCCACCCACATGCACATGCACACACACATGCGCACACACACACATATACACACACAAATTCTCATGCCGTTCCTCATGCTTGCGCATGATGTGCCTTGTTTTGGAGACAGATGTTGCGGCGTGGTTCATCAACAAGCGCAAGGTGTACCCTGTCAAGCCTGACCTTGACGACTCCAAGCTCCCGCCAATCGACATCCCCATCGTACGTGCCCAACGCGGTGCCACGAAGCAGGGTGAAGAGTGTCTGAATGTGTGTGTGTGTGTGCGTGTGAGTGTATGTGTGTTTGAGTTGGCAGCAGTTGCTGTGAGTCTCAACTGCACCCACTTGTGAATCCTCACACACACACACACACACACACACACACACATAACACACATAACACACAAACACACAGAATGCGCCAGATCATGCAGACTGGCGGGACGCAGGTGAACGCCCTCATCCAGGCGAGCGCAAGGCAAGGAGCTCTGGCAAGATGCCCGAGGCCACGGGCCAAGGCGACGCGCCAACCGACAAGAGCATCAAGCGCCTGGCACAGGAGGCAGGCCTGGACACCAAGAAGAAGAAGCTGCTTGTGTTTGACGACGTCGCCCTGACAAACGAGGATGGCGACGTGTGTGTGTATGTGTGTGTGTGTGTGCTACACGTACATCCTTAAGCTGCTGCTCTTCCCACTGCAACAGTTGTTCCTTTCTCTTCTGTTGGTGCTATGACCTTTCTTTCGTGTTCCGTCCACGTTGCGTGCGTTGGCTCAGTTCTTTGGCTCACACCATCGACACACTTCAGTACAGCTACTCATCCATCCAACAACACTTCCCTCTCACGAACAAAAAACCGCACATCCATTTCAGCACCAGTCTTCCCAGGATCTTATGCATATCAAGCAGCCAAGCAGACACGCACTCCTACTCTCGTCTCTCTGAGGCCTCCTGGCAGCTGTCCTTCTGCTTCTTCTGAGCAGGGCGGCTACTCCTACATCAACGCCAGCCCCGATGGCCGCCTGCTGGTAGCTGAGTCGTTTGTGTGGGACATGCACAGGCTGACATGCAAGCAGCGCGTGCCCATCACAGCAACCGACATGGTGTGGACCAAGGACGGCAAGCACCTCATCGGCCCCTCTTACTCCCCTACTCCCGCGTGTTCATCTGCGGCCTCGGTGCACATGAGGCTGAACGCACAGTCATCTACGAGGATCCTTTCCTTGGCGCTGAGCTTGCATGCGCCGCCGCGTCCGATGGCGTCATCGAGAGGTGGCAGAAGGTGCTTTACGAGTGCAAGCTGCACCGCGTCCTAGACCTCAAGTGCCTGGCGGTCGTGCCGTCCACCTTCGAGCACACGCATTGCATGACACTCACGCCCACCCTGTACATCGCGGGCAACAAGACGGGCGTCATCTCTTTGTGGCAGCTTGGTGAGCCATCGACCTTGCTTGCAGAGTGGAGGGCTGATGTTGTCGGTAATGGCGAGGAGACGATACAAGACGTGGGCGGAGAAGCAGCGAGAGGGGAAGTAGAGGCGGAACCGGCGAGCAAGGAGCGTAAGCGTACTGGCGTGGATGCGTTGCGTGTCACCCCTGATGGCCGCTTCCTGGTGACTGCGTCCACCTCCACCGACTTGCGCGTGTGGGATCTCAGCACCCTCACATCCACACGATCAGCAACAACACAACATGAAGGCACAGCAGCAGTGGCGCCAACAACGACAATAGCAGCAACAACAACGACACGCCCGTTTGTGTTGATCGTGCGACGTTGGCACAACCCAAAGAGGTCACGGGCGTTCGTGTCCCGCACATTGCAGCGCTTGCGGACAGCAGCAACAAGTTTGCCTTCGCATACGGAAACACAGTGCACTTCTACGTCATTGACCACCACCAGCATGACCACCACCAGCAGCAACAACGGCAGCATGACCAGCAGCAGCAGCAACAACAGCAGCAGGAGCGGCAGCAGTAGTGGTGTGAGCGGGCGCTGACGCGTGCGGCGGTGTTGGATGACTTGTTTGTGAACGAGGCTGATCTGCACGCCAACATGACCGCCACCACCATGGCGACCCACCCAACTGATGACAGCCTGCTGGCGATTGACACTGCGCGAGGTGATGTGGTTGTGTGCGACGTCGCCAACCACAAGGTCCTCAGCAAGCTCAAAGTGAGCAGAAACGCTCCGGTCAAGTTTGGTGTCTTTGCCCGTCACAGCAGCGTCTTGTTGGTCAACTCTGTTGAGAGCGTGATCAAGTGCGACTACAGCACCGGTCAGCACACCACCATACTGCATCGCAATGACAGAGCAGATGACATGGTCACGTGCGACCACCAGCACCTGCTCACTGTTTCAAGCAGCGTTTCGCGAGGCAGGGTTGCCCTGTGGGCGCTGGGACCGACCCTGAACCGCGCCATGATCCCCACACAGCAGTTTGACCTGTGCCACCTCCGCCCAACGACAGACCCCAGATGCCGCCCCTACGTCATTGTGCCCATTGTTGTTCCACCAGCAACACCTCCCGCAGATACGCAAATGCTTGACGACTACGATGTCACTGCGTTGCCGAACGTACCTGACATCATCTGCCAAGCATCTCGACCAGGCAAAGAAGATGATGGAGGCGGCTACGTCGACTTCTTTTGTCCTGGACTGCCTAATCCATCTGGCATAATCGCGGTGGTGCTGGACGCATTCTGCTTCATCACACAGGCCATCCGCGAGACACGGTGCAAACGACAACAGCACCACCAGGTGACAAGGATGGCAACCAAGTGCAGCTGACACTGGAGGGACTTGCTCGAAGGACTGGTGCGAGGGGTTCAAGTGCAGCAGCAACAACAGCAACACTTGCTTCGTGTGTCTTTTTTGCCCTGCAGTACCCTGACACACAGTGGTGGCTGGTGGATGACTGCGGCCTTCTTGTCGTTGTTGTTGCAGGCCACCTTGCACTTGGCTGTTTGGCTGCACTGCAAGTGGCACCATGCCATGTGGCTGTTGTCTTGAGCAGTGCTGTGTTCTGTGCTCTGCTTTCCTCTCTTGCTTGGATGTGCGTGTTGGTGTTGCGCGTGTGCCCGTGTGTGAGGGCTGTTGTCGCTTCTTCATGTCTTGGCTCTGTCCCACTGTACTGTTGGGAAACGATTGAACATGCAAGATGGAATCACCGCAACACGGCAACCAGCAACCAAACACACAACACTGACAAGGGAGAGCGGCAGAGCAGAGAACAGCAAGAGGGAAGGAAGGCAGGGAGGAAGGAAGGAAATTGAGTATGCACGGCGTGCATGTGAACAAACAGCCAACGCAATGGCAACAACAGTGACACATCATCAAACACCGCATGACACACTGCAACGCTGCTCTGTCGATGGCCGGCCTGATGGAAGAAAGAGGCGCACGCGTGCACCAGCCACGACGCGGTGGTTTCTCAGATGGGAAGTGATTTGATTGGCAGCCGTCTCGCCATCGCCGTCATCGGTGTACACACACGCCAATTGCACAGCCAACCACAGAGGGAGGGTTGCTGCGTGCCGTGCAATTTCACATACATCCACCTTCTTCTTAATTGCTGTTGTCGCTCATCGCAACAACTGCTGTTGTCAGCGGTGGCACCAACAACAGCCAGCACATGGGTGCCCACCAGAATCACGATGGCCACCTCCTTGCTGTTGCTGGAACTCGTGAGGAATGCAAGCACATTCACCACCACCACCTCATCAGCTGTCGCTGCTGTAGCCATGGCGTGCACCACGACCACCACAACCACTGCTGCTGCTAGCGGTACGCCGTGGTGGTCCAAGAGCCAACTGCATCCGATGCCTTGAGCTCGTTGCTGTCGTTGGTGGTGGTGGTGGCGGCGGCAGTGCTGGGATGATGATGCTGACGTGGGAGGTGAAGGTGGCATGTGATGGCAGCACTCGATCACAACAGGTGCAATGATGGTGGCTGTTGTTGCTGTCCTGGTGGAGGAATGCGGCGTCCACGTGAACTGGCAAGCGTGCGTGCGTGTGAGGCTCCAGCAGTTGCTGTGCGATGGGTCGGATCGCGTGTGCACCCGTGCAACCAAAGGGACGAGTCGTCCAGGACACGTCGGCCTCGCACGGCGATGCGGTGGAGCCCATGACGGTGACGTCGCCAGAGACGGATCGGCTGAAGAGGAGCGCGTAAAGTCCTCGTTGAGGGAGGCGACAGTGGCGATGATGGACCCCTGGCGCAGGTCGATGCGCAGAATGAATCTGCGACGCGTCCTGCGTCGTGTTGATGGACTGCACCAGCACGACCTCAAACGCCCCGCGGCGCGACTGCGTGCCGGCAAGGGCGTTGAACTTGGCGTCAAAGATGAGCAAAATAGAGCACGCAGGCACGCACGCACGGTGGGAGCACCCCAAACTGCTCCACTGATGGTGCCGCAGAGGCGGTCTGTCGTGGCCGTGGGCGCCGACACCTCGTACTCTGTGTGCTGGCACGAGCGCACGGGCTTGCACTCGCGGTCGTTGACCAGCGACGGCGCAACGAGCTCGTGCTTTGTTTGGCAGGAACTGCGTCCACGGTGAGCAGATGCGGTTCTGCGGGCATGAGCGGGCGCGAGATGAACGTGTTGTTGTTGGGGCATATGCGGGCCCATCTGGCACTCGCGGTCTGTGCTGGTGATGGGCGCGGCTGTCTCAAACGAGCCAGGCTCGCAGGGCGACACACGCGCATGCAGAAGCCCGTGTTGCTGTTGCGGTAGAACAGGCCCTCGATGCAGCGGCGGCACTGGCGGTCGGTGAAGATGGTGGGGCGCATAGCAGGGCGCACCATCTCCTCGTAGCCAAGGTTGCACTCCGCCACAGTAGTGCAATCGCGCTGACCAGAGAGAGGGCGGCAAAGTCCACGCCAACCTGGCACGGCGTGCTGGCGTTGCGGCGATCCAGGTCGGCGGTGCCGACCAGGCACAGGAACTGCTCGCAGGAGCCGATGGGGCCTGCAGGCACACAGTGGCCATAGGAACACGGCTGGCAGGCGGTGAGCGGGTTGCGGTCGTGGTCAGTGGTGCCGATGGGGCACGGCTCGCACTTGGTGTCGGAGGTGGAGGTGGGCGCGCGGATACGCTGCTCGCCAGCGCACTTGGTGATGAGGTGGCACAGGCGGTGCGCTCGTACTCCGTCGACGGGTTGCACTGGGTCAGGTCGCGGCAGATGCGATCCATGGTTGGCGTGGGGGCGGGGAACAGCCCAAACTGGTCCTGGTCGCACACGTCGAGCGTCATGCATGCCGTGTTGCTGGTGGCGGTGCATGGCGCGCTGCGGTACTGCTCATCGGAGCATGTGCTGCACTGCTGGCAAGACGTCGTTCTCCGAGTCGCAGGCGCGCAGGATGTATGTGTTTGGCGGGCACGCAGAGCAGCCGGCGCACTGCACGTCCTCCAGCGCGGAGCAGGCGCGAATCTCGAAGCGGCCGCTGGGGCACTCGGAGCACTCGAGCGTGGGCACCTGGCTCTGGAAGGTGCCAAAGGAAATGTACTCCGAGGCAGCGCAACGCGACACGGGCACGCACGTGTCCTGGACGCACTTGCGGCAGAGGCTGTCGTGCTGGGTGCGGGGGCTCGCAAAGCGAATCGCTTTCTCATCCGGACCGCACTGCGTGACGGGGCGGCACGACTCGGCCTGGCCGTCGACGCGCTTGAAGGTGGCGCCAAGCTCGCACTGGCTGCACACGCGGTCGCTCGTCGGGATGGTGGGCTCGGCCGTCTCCTCCTCGCCGGCGTCGCACGTGGTGACGGGCAGGCAGGGCATGCCCTGGCAGGCCAGAGACAGCCTTGAAGGTGCCATCCAGGCACTTGTCGCAGACACGGTCGCTGATGAGGAGGGTCATCGCCTGCACCTCCTCAAACCCGGGCGCGCACTCTGTGACGTCCATGCACGAGGGTGGCGGGGTCGCTGTCGTGATGGTCGTGGTGGGTGCCAGCGCGGCAGGTGAAGCTGGAGCAGGACCCGTGGGAGCCCGCCTCCGTGTAGAGGCCAGCGGGGCACATCTGGCAACCCGTGGAGCCGTCACTGTCTGTGTCGATGGCGCCGGCCGGGCAGTCGCGGCGCACGCGGTCCGAGGAGTAGTGGGTTGGCGCGGAGATCTCCTCCTGGCCGCGCTCGCACTCCTCAATGGCCTCGCACTTGCTGCCGCCAATGGATGCGGAGAACTCCGTCACGCCGTCGCATGGTCGACAGTCGGCCGAGTCGGCGTCGTAGACAAGCATGAAGCCAGCACTGCACTCGCACGTGTCTGTGCAGCCTGGGCAGGAGCGGCGTGCCTCATAGGCGTCCATCTGGCGAGTGTTGCGGATGCCATCCTCGCCCTGGCCGGAGCAGCACACGTCAAGCACCACGTCGAGCTGCTCGTCCGTGGGCTCAGCGCACACCATCTCCTCAAACAGTTGCGTGATGAGCTTGTTGCAGGTGAGCGTGTCGCAGGAGCACAGGCGGTCTGTGGTGAGCGGGGGCGGGATGGTCTCGATGAAGGGCTCCTCGCACACGCTGGTGGGGAAGCACGAGGCGCGGTCCGGCAGCGGCTGGTACTCCATGCCAAAGGGTGCAGCTCACGCACGCGCGGTGGTCGCGCACGGCGTTGCCAGAGACAGACAAACTCCTTCTGGGCCTGTCCTGCACTCGGTCCACGGAGAGCAGACGGCGTCGTAGGACGCGGAGCATGGGGCAGAGGCCCAGGTGCCCATGCACCACGTGTGGCATGGCACGCAGCGGTGGTCCTTGGCGTAGTAGCCAGCCGAGAGGGCAATGGGCAATGCGCAACTGGTGAGGTTGCTGTCGCAGAGGAGGCAGTCGGTGGCGTCCGGTGGGGTAGCACTTGGCACACGCGTGGAATGGCATTCGGCACACCCGTTGGCCGAGCTCATGCCCGCCATCGGGGCACTCGCTGATGCAGGGGCCGTTACTGGAGGTGAGGCTTGGGTCCACAGGCCGTGCACCCATCGATGCCTAGAGAGGGAGGGTGTGGAGGTGGAGGGGAACATGGGGTGAGAGGCAATAATGACAACACTGTTGTGAGTATCGAGGAACCTTGCACCGCTTCATCATCTCAAAGGACACAAAACTCAGAAGAGCCTTTGAGGACAAGCGCACGAGCACATACACAGACACACACAGACACACACAGACACACACACACACACAGACACACAGACACACAGACACACAGACACACAGACACACACACACACACACACACACACAAAGCCAGCATTAGTCAACATACCATTGGCCCGTGATGAATTATCCTTGAGGACCCGCCGCACGGTGTTGTGCATCGTGTTGATTGTTGTGCGGTTGTGCTGCACAGCCTGCGCCAAGTTGCCGTTTGTGGTGAAGCATGTATCCCCGAGCTCCATATCTGCGCCACCGCTCAGCGTCTTCGCGACGGCATCGACGGGGTCGTGGGCGTACGTGTTGGCGTTGACCATGTCTTGCAAATTGCACAGCAGTCTGTTCCAATCGTCACCATGTCACGCTTCCACTGCCCGCGCACGACGTCTTTGAGCAGCATGTTGTTCGCACACGAGGGCACGCCGTTGATGCTGGCGTACGAGCACATGGCAGCGAGTGCCCGCGCCTGTACTGCACATGGCAGAGAGGAGTGGGATGAAGACGAGGAAGTGGGAGGTGAGGGGGATGGCGCAGGAATGGTGGCGTGGACGAACTGACAAGAAATGCCTGATGCGAGGTGCACGAGCTGACACACACACACACACACACACACACACATACATACACACACACACACACACACCTCGGTGTCCCAGAGGTCAAAGATGGAAATGTTCCGGTTGAATGCCACGCGGTTGTCTCGACCGAGTGCGCGTCAACGTGTCTGAGACCTAAAACGCGATGGAGTGGTGACAGCAGTGTGAATGACACGACCGCCATCAAGTGCAAAAGAGGAGGCGTTGCTGACACGGTTGCGAGCGTTTGCATACACGCATGTGTGTGAGTGTGGATGCGTGTGCGTACCTGCTGCCATTTTCTTGTACTTCTTGTCTGGGCCGTCCTGGCAGCCGGCCACGTAAGCAGCAGCGTACTCGCCGCTCAAGCAGAGATCTCAGAGGTTGAGAGGGGTGCAGTGAAGGCGAGGGCGTGGGCCTGCAAAGTGAGTGAGTGGTTGAGTGAGTGTGGGGTGTGAAGGGAGTTGGGGGGCAATGCGTGGAACTGTGATGGAGTGATCGCATACGTGTGAGATGTGCACCAGCATCACGTGATGAAGGGGGCACCTGTGAGTCTGATCTTCTGCAAGACGCCGCTGCCCCTGTGCCAGTTGAGATTGTTGAAGGCGCGCGTCTCCGTGGATATGACCTGGAAGCGAAGAACCGGTGGGTGGGGGACGAGGAGGGAGGGAATGAACGACATGAGATTTGATCAAGGAGAAGCCGACAGAGCAGACGTAGGCGCACACACACACACACACACACACACACACACACACACACACACACACACACACACACACACGCGGTTGAAGGCTGCGCCAAGACCTGTGGGGCCAATGAAGGTGGGTGGCACACGTGTCCTGGTTGATGATGCACGCAGAGGCAACGGCCGTGTTCGTCTCCACCAGATGCAGACACGGCGTGATGTCGAGCCTGCAATCCATGCACACACACACACACACACACATGTGAGCATGAAGAAGGGGGTGGTGTTGCTGTGAGCAGTGGTGGTGGCGGTTGATGCCGCTGTGGCACGAAGAAGTGGGGGGGGGGGGGGGAAACACAAGCAGGCAGAGTCACAAGTCACTGCGTGGGCGCTACATGTCCTTTCCCACCTCTTGACGCCGTAGTCGAGGAAGGCGCATGGGCTGGTGACGGGATCGGGGCCAACGAGACCGGCCTTCTCCTTGAAGACTGAGGCGTCCAATGAGGTCGTCAAGGCGGGCACCGATGGGACAGACTCGTGTTGCAGAAACGGCAACTCCTTTTGTTCGCTGCAGGCAGGCACACATGGTCCTGACGAGGCAAGGTGCCGACATCAGTCACGTATGA